CTGCCATTCCATCCTGTTGAGAGTCGCAACAGACTGTAACCTGCCTGATATGCGATCTGAGAAAGGCCAATGGTTAAAAACCCAGTGGTTAAGCCAAGCAGCTGTTTCGGGATACCTCGTCGGAGAGAACTGGCTGTACAGCAGGTCCGACATCCTGCATAGGTTTCGCAGATTGGTTCTGATTCCCATTTTGGATTGCAGCTGGAAGGTGTCTTCTTTGACGGTAACCTTGATCATGATGATGATGATGATGATGATGATGATGAGGATACCAGATGCCACTTTCGTCTCCAGAAACTGCCAGGAACCATTTCGGTAGACTGTCAGTCGGACCGGTTCCGCGAAATCCAGCACAACAAGCCTTTTGATTGCAGAGTGGCAACAGCAGCAGCAATGGAAGCAGTAGCGGCCGTCGGACAAACCGACGATGCCGTCAATGTAAGAGCAAGAGGAGGCGTAGGAGTTGCACTGGTAGGAGCAGTGGTAACAAAAACCTACACCCTAAACCCTAAACCCTAAACCCCAAGCCCTATAGACCCTAAACCCTAAATCCCCGATTCCCCAGACTCCCAGCCGGCCCACAGCGCTTGGTCCTGTATCGTCGGTTGACTGGCCGAAGAACCGGACTCCTAGGCACTCCGACTGCCTCTAGCATACAGAATATCGCTGATGTCACGGATGCGAATATGATCATGGTAGCCAGAAATTCTAGCTGTATCAACGTGTCTCGTCTCCGTCAACTTCAAAGCAGATGTTCATAAAGCTTTGCAAGCTATGAGGCATGCTCTGGACGAGTATCTGACAGCACACCTGAGCCCTAAAGATTGATAACAGCAGACTTTCAAACCCATAAAAGTAAGCCCTTGAGTGGCCTCTTCGAGGGAGTCAAGGGTACGGCCTTGTGTGCCTGATCTTGACTCACGTGCAAGGACGCCTTCAACCCATGGTTCCTCCGCGGAAGCTTCCCACAGGCTGTACCTACCTGACAAAATGAGCTCGATCAAAAAACGAGAAAGGATGCAGCAGCTTTTGCAAGTTGAGTTATGGTGCTTCCTCGGCCGAACAATCTTTAGAGGAGTGCCCAAGCACTCCCCAGTGGCCGGTCGAACCCGTGCCACGATCCGAACGCTCAGCCTAAACACGTTCCATAAATGCTGAGAAACCTACCTCATGAATAGCCAGCCCACCACAAGTCTCCAACTTCATCAGAACCCGAAGCCACGCCCCACACCCTAAACCCCAAATCCCCTACCCTATACCCTCTAACCCTCAACGCCTTAGACCCTATATAAGTCTCGCCGGGATCCCGCGCCCCGCACGGGTCCGGGCTGTGCTCGGCGCCAGGGACGCCGAGCTCGGCGCAGGCGAGACACGGCGCCTCGAGGAATCCGGCCTGGGCGGGGTAGACTTTCGGGTCACATACCCTAACGGTCCATGTGCTTATCTAGTGTATACACTGGCCCCAAAGTACCTATATAGGGACTACTTTAAGGCCAATGGCAAGTATATACTATTTGGGCGCATGGACCTTTAGGGATAGGGTACTATCAGGCTACGAGACCTGTTCTATATACTCTGGGATGGAAGCGCTTTTCTGTTAAAGCGCCTCTCTTCTGATCCACCTGAACGTCTCAGAGAACCTCGGGAGGTAGGCGACGGAGCCGAACTTTTCAGCTAGTCTACGGTTTAGGGCCTTTGGGTTTAATTAGCAGCTATGTTGGCTTAGATTTAAGGGTTTAGTCTAAGTCATTTGCACTCATGTTCATTTTCATGTCGAATAGAGAGTCATAGCCCAACCGATATAATGCGAAGTCTTATCTCACTATTAAACCTAAACCTCAAATACCTTATATAGGGGCCTTAAGAATAAGAATACGGCGATGGATTTGTTGGCTCCTTTCTGGTATTCCTATTCCAAAGAACCCTCAGGAATAATATTACTTAGCAATGATTGGGGCTTCAATATAATATGGGTAGTTCTCCAAATTAGGATCCCAATTAGGTCCCAAAAATTTTATACGGCACCCTCATAAAAAAAGAACCCTATACTAGAATAGTTAAGCGAACAAGACACAGCCTCGGAGGCCTACCGCAGCAAGCTCACTGCATATACTTGTCCTTTCTTCTTTTGTGTTTTCAGCCAAACATATTGTCATTCACTAATAAGTGAATATGAACATGCAGCGGCCTACGCGCACTAAGCCTAGGCACCCTAGAAGCTATGACTTACTACGCCACTACAAAGTGCAAAAGGGTCGATATTTCTTATCATTAAAAAAGGACCCTGATTTAGAGAACTACCCATATTACCAGGCCATGAAGCCTAAACCCTAAACCCTAAACCCTAAACCCTAAACCCTATCATGCGGGGCTCGCTGGCGCGCGTGATCGTCACTGAGCACGGTGCTTCTCAGGGCTGGGGAGGCCTGGCCTCGGCGAAGACAACCCCCGATCTTCGCAAAAGTTCCTTAAACAAACTAAGGAATAGACCTGAAATTAAGGAATATACCGCCTTAAATTAAGGAATTAAGGAATATATACCCTAAACTAAGGAATATACATCAATGTAAGGAATATCCCTTAAATCAGATTAGGGATCCTACCATAATTTGATTAAGGAAGGTCTCTTCCTTAATCAGGGGGTGTTGGAAGATGTGGGATGCTGATGGACCAAATCCTGCAGCAGCCTGCGTAAGAAGTTTAAAATCAAACCATGAAACCCTGAAGCCTTAAAGCCCTAGACTCTACAACCCTGAACCCTGAGGAGGATAGAAGGTAATGCGGGAATTCCTGCATCTCAGGTAGTGTCAGGGCCCGGGACCCCCCAAACACCCGCGATTCAGGCCCATAAGGGCTCTATCAAAGGGCACTTGGGGGGGTCATTTCAATTTCGGTTAGAAGTTGAAAAAAAGCCCGCACAGCTGGTCTGCGGTTGTGGTTTATAGGAGTTCAGTAAACCCTGAACCTCTGTCAATCTCTGCAAAGCCCTCACGGCACCATATACAACACTGGTTAGCACCCTCTCGGACCCAAGCCAGAGTCCAAAATTTACTTTTTTGCTTTTGAAGCCCGAACTTCGAGCAGGTAAACTTCAAATCCCTGAACACTGCAGCACGCGTTAACCCTTCGAGCCTGTATCCCCGACTAAACCCTGCAAGGGGCCGCATCAAAGGCTCGAACATGTACCAGGGCCCCCCCCCCACCCTGTGGCTGAGCATGGTGCTTTTCAGGCTTTTCAGCACCGTGGACTGCTGCCGGCCTAGGAATAACAGCTTCGGGGTTTTTGGGGGGTGTCGGGGTCCAGATCCGTGCTTGCTATAATTAATTACTTTCATCAGGGTTTCTCTAGGGCCTTTGGGTTGAGGCTAGCTTGTCCATACTGGAGGGTTGACGGCTCCTTTTAGGCTTCATGTTTCAGGGTTTGCTGGCTGAGAGCAAGGTGTGCCGGCATGAGCTTTAATGTGTTCATTCTTTTTTCATGCCAGCCGAATCGGAGACACAGAATGAATGCAAGCATGCAGCACGCTGGACTGGGAGTTGAAGCAGGGTGAGGGAGGATTGTAGAACATCTCTCAACCCTAAACCCTAAACCCGCTCTTCAGGTTCCAGCATTGGAAATATAGATCCCTTCAGTTTTGTCTCTGGCCCGAGCACGATCCGATGTTGAATGGAGAGCTTGGCAACAACCACTTTCGGCCAGTTGATACTAAAACCCTCCCACAAATCCCTAGGAATTTGGAACAAATAACCTTGAAAGCTCCAAGAACCCCAAATCCCAAACCTTAAAAAGGACCAAACGAGGCCCTTCACTCTAAACCCGAAACCCTAGAACCCTCAAGCCCTACACAGACTCTCCCTACATCCTTAAAACAAATTTGATTGTGGAGTTCCCGACCATTCCGTGCAAGCGAACTTGTCCAGGGAAAGGATGTGCTTGTTCTGCTGCGCTCATTTTGTCGCGTCGTTTCGAGAAAGCGCCGGATCTAGTGACCTACAAATACCTTCAGGACGAAACGCACCCTAAGAGGTTCAAGTGCCACGTAGGATTCGGTCTATTCACCGAACCCCGTGACAGAAACTTACTAAACCCTGGAGTGTGACGCGCGTGAGAAACTACGTGCAGGAATGTGCAGGATATGCAGTCAGTACATGACACTTGCTGTGTGGTTTCCCTCTCTCTCTCTCTCTGCGTTGCGGGATTCTGCTCATGCGCGTCACGGTCGTCGCACGCGGTTGACCAACTCGATGGCCGTCCCTGGTCGGTGTCTGGTATGGCGATGTACGGGCGACATTAGGACCTCGTACGACATTAGGACCTCGTTAGATTATTTCAGGGCCACGCCTTTTATGGCCATAGGATAAGGGGGTTTCCGAAAATAGGGGGCCCTAATATAGTACCCTAAATAGTAGGATCCTTATTATAAGGACCCCCAAATAAGGTACCCCTAATTTTCGGAAACTCCCATAAGGGTACAGGTCTCCTACCTTCAGGGTCATTGAGTGCTTAAGCAGCAGACTCTCTTCTCAGCGACAACGGCCTCATGAAAGTGTGGACACGCAAAATCCCGAAACGGACCCTGCTGAGCTGGGAACCCACGTGACTCTCCATACAGTGTTAAATTCAAGAATATAGGCTTTACGGTTTAGGCTTTGGGGTGAACGGCTTTAGGGATATAAGAAGTTGATATAATATAAGTATGCACATCAACCCGAAACCCTGCAGAAACCGAAACTGCACCGCAGCAATCCTCAATCTTAGTCTTGCTCCAGACCCTCCTGCAGGTGGGCTGCAGCCATCGTTTCTAGGGTTGGATCCGAAGGGGAAACGGCTGCAGATGGGGGGGTTTCCGTAAAACAAGGGACCCTCATATAGTACCCCAAACAGTAGGGTCCTTATCATAAGGACCCCCCAAAATAAGGTACCCCCCCATATTTTCGGAAACTCCCCGATAGCTTCATGTTCAGCAACCCTAAACCCTAAACCCTAAACCCCAGAGCGCCTGGTGGCTGATGCTTCCTCCGCCTTCTTAGCCTCAGCCCTCTGGCGCCGCTCCGCCAAGTAGGCCATGGAGAAGGCGACCATCATCCGGATGCAGATTCCCTGAGCTTCGGTGCGGGCTTAGGGTTTAGGGTTTAGGGCTTATAGGGTTTAGGGTTTAGGGTTTAGGGTTTAGGGAGGGAGGGGGAACGGCGACTTGGGACCTCAAAGCCGCAGCAGCCGGGCGTCTCCGGCAATCGCACAGATCAAGAAGACCAGGAGCCGCTGCGTGAAGGCGGACTTCGCCCAGTGCAGGTCGTTGGCCTCCGACCCTAAACCCTAAACCCTAAACCCCTAAACCCTAAACCCCTAAACCCTAAACCCGTAAACCCTAAACTGACAACTGCAGCACTAAAACCCCCTTGCAAAAGTGCTCCCGTACAGTGCAAGCCAGTAGCGATGAGACAGGTAGTCATACCAGTGATGGTCAGGCTCACGATCAAAAGCCCGATCTCTGCACGGTTCCAGTCATCTGCCTCACTCGCTCAAAAGGAAAGACTAATTAAAACACACGAACAGAGGACCCACGTGAAGACTTGAGAGGCTGCATCCACGAAATTGCTTTAATTGGGCGAGGCCGCCTGGTATGGCCAGAAGTACAGATGCGCCACCAGGGATGCGATCAGCACCAAAGTCACGGCTTCCGCCCCACACGGCGAGTCAGGGCGGCTTCCTGCAACAATCGCCGGCCGGCAATGCCTCCAGGAGGGGCGCAGCAGGCCGAGTGGACGAAGAAGGATCAACGCTGAGCCCCGGGCATTCAGCTGACAGGAGGGAAGAGAAGATGGCACCGCAGAAGAGCCAGCACACGGCCATGTGGCCGCTCTCACGAGCTTTCACAGACTATGTATACATGCACACGCACGGTCCCGGGCAACAACAAAGAGCCCCGGCAGCTGCGGACCGCAAGAAAACTTGCTGAAATGATTCGGCCAGACGTGCCAGCCGACACGGAGTTGTCTATAGTGATATGCAATGACAAGAAATCCTCCGGAACAATATCTGGCAATGAACTATCATGTAATCTTCTAGATTATGCTCAAAATCAGAGTCCCGACCTGCAGTGATGAGCGTAAAGTCGCGTTCAAGACTGATGGGTGCAACTGTATAAAGTCCACCTGGTACCAAATACAAGTACGACAAAAAGCAGCACTCCCGTTGACTACATTTCAATTTAAAGCCCGCGATTGCATGCAATTGTCGAAGCAATTCAGTATGTGGCAACTTTGTTGCAAAGTAATGATCACTTGCGACGCCAGCCGGTGCTTTGCTCCGTAGTGGGGCACTTCCGCCACCCCTAAAACCTACAAGCTCTCCCTAAAACCTAAACCCCAAACCCTAAACCCCATAAACCCTAAACCCCATGCGCTACGAGCCCTTAGCTAAGACCTGGGCTGCTGCCGCCGGCTCTGCAAGAGCCACGGCCGTGCAGTCCGCTCCTGAGAAATCTCAGAAGTCTCTTAGATCTTCCGAAATCCCTTCATGTAGGAATTCGGATAGGGTGTTGGGGTTCCTTTAAAGGGCTCCTTAGAGGGTTCTATAAGGGCTACTATAAGGGTTCTATAAGGTACGGGCCTTAATCATTATAGAATAGGGTTTCATAGGGTTCCTTTACAGGCTTCCTTAAAGGGGTTCTATAAGGGCTAATATAAGGGTTTAGGGTGTAGGGGCCTTAATAAATAGCATAGGGTTTGGGAATAGACCCCGAAACCCTAGGCCTCTACAGTAGGTAACAAACAAACCTTAAATCAAAGTAGGGATCCAAGGACCCGAAACCCTAAACCCTAAACCCTAAACCCTATGAATTTTGGAAAATCTGAGAAGAGACTAGCGGCTCTCGAAAGTGGAAGGTACTTAGGATTTGGGGTCGGGGTTAAGGGTTTAGGGTTTAGG